GTACTATTAAGAGTACGTTTAGGAAACTTGAGTTCCTCGTACTATTAGGAGTACGTTTAGGAATTTGCGTACTGCTTAAGAGTACGTTTATAACATAGAGTCTAATGCGGAGGCCCGGCTTATTACAACGTGCCGTCAGCCTGGCTATGTACACTTATTGTACCCATACCCAAATCTGAGGCACCATCAGGTCCAGAATTCTTCCGACCTATTACCCTCACACAGAGACTGCGCCGTATTTTCCAAATAGTAATGCTGAGTTACATGAACCAACTTTCTGCATTCAAAACACATAGCAGGCAAGGTGGTTTTAAATCAGGCTACTCATGCTTCACACACGCTCTTACCCTACACGAATACATCAATCAATCAAGCCCCACAGCGCAACACACCCACCAGGTATTTCTGGATATTGAAAAAGCATATGACTCGGTTAAGCTCGACCGTCTATGGCGACTTTTACAAAACAGACGGGTACCCACCCCATTAATCACTTTATTCCAAAATATGTACCACAATGTAATCTCTCGTATTACATACCAACAAGTTCTCGGACCTACTTTCACACGTTTAGCCCAGGGTGACCCAATAGCCCCTACACTCTTCAACATATACATTGACCCGCTACTCGATAGTCTTGCCAAAGTCGACCCCCGAGGCTTTCTCGGCTGGGTAGACGACTTAGCACTATACAACCGCGACCATCGCAAATTGCAATTAAGCCTCAACCATGCTTATGTATGGGGCAAACGCTCCGGCGTAAAATTCCACCCAAAGAAATCGATACACGTAGCACCACCAAATCCCAAACTAGAACACAAGTTCATGCTTGGACAAAATAGTATCGATGCCCACCCTACTGCTAGGTACCTGGGATTCCCTATGGGACCCAAAGGACTAGACATTGTACAAATGCTAGAAACACGTATAAACAAACTAAATGATTCAATAACCCAAAGTGGCCCTCTTGGCTTTCGAGCCGGTGCGCACCTACACCCACACAACAAGCTTATGATCTTTCGAGTATTTATACTCTCGAAAATCACCTACGGCCTTGCCTTTATACCATTATCACACTCTTCACTCAAAACACGCATTAATGCACAACTCGACAAACTCGATGTGGTAATCCATAGAACCTCTGGATATATCACACCCACTGCAGCCCACAAAAAGACCGCAACAAAAGTCACACCAACTATGCTGAAAAAAATTCAGTTCTGTGGATTACTCAACGCACAAGCGCTATGCACGTGGCAATGCGTGAGTCTGATAATTCATATAACTCGTATGTCAGACAAAAATCCTTTACAGGAATATCTGGGCAAACAGGCAACCATATTTACCCCTATGAGACTCATTATGCTCGCTCGCGAGAACATACTCCACTACCCCCCGTACATAACATACAGGAAACTGAAACAGGCATATACCAATAGAAAATCAAACAAAAAGGAAGGCACGCTACATCGACAAGCGGGTCGAGAACTCCGATTTGGACTCATCTACCCAGGCGAGGAAGAGCGGTACCGACTCGACACGCCGCTCGAACATCACAGCTTCAGCAGTCTCTTATTCAGAGTTCCAACGATAGTCGCACTGTACGTCACGAACAGGTATATGTTCACGCTAGAAAAGACCCCGGCAGGTCTCACATGCATTGGCTGCAGCAAAACACATTTCACAACATCACACTTCAAATGTCCCCTCGTGTTACCCGACATGTCAAAGCTCATCTCACCACAGAAAGAGATAGTAGTTGATAGCAACCTACTCGACGCACTGAGTACTCGTAAGCGCTACACTGACATGCTCACATTACACGACCAATTGGTGTACTTGCACAAAGGACCCATACCACCCCAAATACTGATGAACTGTGTGTTCCCAGTGCCACGGTTTATGACCACAATAGTACACACTCTCCTCGTAGACTCTCAACACCCGCAAAATGATTATACTTGGCCGTCGTTAGAACGCAGACGTCGTTAGAACAAGCCCACAGAACATTGTGGCTAGATAATCCGCATATGGATTTCAGCACACTACATCCAGAGGCTAACGCCTATATAGCGGCGCCCTAGCACTGGACACGCAAACTCCCAAACCACCACATACACCCCCTGTTCGATATAGATCAGGACTTAGACAATGACATCCCAATAGACATTACACTATCTTACATATGTAGTAGCGTGACTCCGCCTTACTTGATCAGACGCTGGCGAATATGCCTGCGACAAATATGCATTGACTTGAAGTTGAATAGCACATATATCAACGAACACCCCGCAATGAAACCCCCTCCGCCCCGAACACATCCCCCTTGAATGCCTACCGGCAGACACAGTCGCACATCGCGACCCGATGATGCGGTAGTGAGTATAATACACTGGTGAGCCACTGTATCATACCTCATATTCAGTGAAACGATATGTATATCTGTCACAGCCTACTCACAGACTCTGTGTCAACCCATTTACGGTGGTCAAACGCCAACACCACTCACAACTAAACAACTACAGCCAAAGAAAACAACCCAACAAGAACAACAACCACAGACAGCAAAAGACTCAGCCCTTAGACAGTCC